GCGAGTTAGGAGCCTCCGTGAAGTCAGAGAAAGGCCGATGGGTCCTGTGAATCATGTTTACTATAGGACATTATGTTTCCCCTGGGTTTGGAGGGCAGCAACCATCCCCCCAACCCCACAGAAGATATTACTGTGGGGTAATTTTTTGGAGCAAAAACGATATTCTGGGTTCCAGAAATGTCTCTCCTAAAATAAACATGCATAATTATTTTAAGAGAACGTGAATCAGGCCCATGTCCATATGGTGCTGTTACCACACTTCGAAAGACAAAAACATTGAGAAATAAAGCCCCAGCCAGGCAGCTCTGACATTTCCGGGATAGCATGGAGGCTCCTGAGGGCCCCACACCCTGGGACACCCTTTCTCCCTACTCTCCACGCCACCTCCCCACCCTGCCACTACCTGGTGACAGGCTCAGTTCCAGCCCTCTACTTCCTCCTCCTCCTTCCTGGGGGCATACAAAGCATTTAGCCAGAGTTCATGGTGGAAGTAGGACCCCGGGTGGGTGGCTCGGGCAGGGACATCCACATCTTCCATGGAAAAGGGAACATGGGGGCTATGCAGAGACCCCCCGCCCAGGCCAACACTATTCTAAGTAGCAGACTTCACAAGAACCAGATGAACTGGCAGCAACCCTCGGAGGTGGGGATTCTTCTGAGTCCCACTGTGCAGATATGGAAACTGGGGCCCAGAGAGCTTAACCAACCTGCCAAGGTTGCACAGCTAGTAAGCAGTGGATTCAAAGCCAGAGTCTACACCCTGGACCGCTGTGCCTTGCAGACACATGAACCTGTGTGAACTTCACTCATCAAAGCAAATTAAAGGGAGTCTGGTAGGTCTTACAACCTAGCAATGGGCAAAAATTTTTAAGAAGTTGCTATCACCACTGGCGAGGGCTGGCTGTGCTGCAGCCATCTGGTAACACCGGTCAGCGCTCTTGGGCACACGCCCCTGGACCTCAGCTGGGGTCTAGGAAGCACGGGGAAGGTGACTCCCTTTTCACCATTTGCTTTTTGAACAATTTAGATTTTTTAAAAAAGTATTTTATTTATTTATTAGAGCACACAAGCAGGGGGAGCGGCAGGCAGAGGAAGAAGCAGGCTCCCCATTGAGCAAGGAGCCTGATGTGGGAATCGATCCCAGGACCCTGGCATCATGACCTGAGCCGAAGGAGATGCTTAACCAACAGCTACCCAGGCGTCCCGGTGACTTTAGATTTTTGATACCAAAGGTATGTACCAACTACTCAAACTCACTATCTCTCTCTCTCTCTCTTTCTCTCTCACACACACACACACACACACACACACACAAAGCACAGGTGTGGAAAGGCCTGGAAGGATTCACGTCAAAGGGCAATGGCAGGAGGCCAGATTGCCTTTGGCAGAACCAGCTTCCCTTCATGCGCACGGTCTGCCTTCTCACTGGAGTTACAGGATAAAATGCTCTTCTCCACACATTTCAGGAACTGCAGGCTTGGTGATCCGTGGACCCACTGGGAGGGGCAAGAAAATTTCCTCAGTCCTACCACCTGTCTGTCTGGCCCCAGATGAAGCCCCACAGCTTCTCCAGAATCTGGGCAGGGGTGTCTGTGCAACTTCAACACCTCATGGCCTAGCTCCTCTGCCCTCCAGGTCCTGGTCCTCACCCCTCCTCCCCGCTGCCTTAGGTTCTGCCTCCGCCATCTGTCTCCTGCAAGACTAATTAATGTGTTTGCACTGAGCCCTTCTTTTCTAACAACCTATAATACATTCTTTTCTATTTCTCCCACTAGTAACAAAGTTCCCCACAGTCAGGGCCTAGGGACACTTCCTAACAGAGTTTACTGGCTTGCTTGCTATTGATAGGGGGAAAGACCAAGATGCTAGCTACACACACACCACTGCCCTTCTCACTTGAAAGGGTGGGACCCAGAAGGCTGATGGAAGCAGGACACACGGTGGGATAAGGACATAATCAAACATTTGAAGGCCTGTGTTGGAGCAAGAGAAGGAAAAACCAGAGATGCAAAAAGCAATCGAAGGGGGCCAGTGCTTGAGGGTGAGAGTGCCAACACTGGGAAGCCAGGTGACAGCCCAAGGGACCCAGGAGGGGAGGCTTGCCAAGAGACAGGCTGCTGGGGGTGAGCAGGGACAAAGCTGCAACAGCGCTTGGCTCAAACTATGCCCGTGTTTGGTGGCCAGGGAACCGCAAGCCAAGTTGTTGCCTTATCTGTAAAATGAGAGTAAATTGCGATTCACAAGGTGGTCCAGACAATCGCATAAGAGGTCGTGTCATCGTTATAGGACAGCGGGACAGAGGGATGGCGAGCTCATCTCCCCACCGGGAAGTCCTGGTTCTGAGGCTCTTCAGGAGCCAGATTAAGGGGATGTTCCCTGGGTGGGGATGACACGGTGTTGGCTCCAGGATTTCCATCCCTCTCTCACCAGCAGATAGCTTTTCAGAGGGTTTCTATCACAGAAGGAACAGGGACTTCCTTCCTGAATCCAACCTCTGCGGTCCTCCCCAGAACCCTTAGCCCTCTATGTCTTGGTTGTTCAGAACTTTCTCCAACCTCCCCTGAAATCTCATGTCAAGATTTCCACTCCCTAGAGGTTTCGTTGATTAGCAGATCTAACTACTTTTCTACAGATGGAAAACCAAATGAACCTCAAATGAAGAGTTTGAAAGGAAGATTTCCATTGCTGCTGCCTTTTTCTTTTTCAAAGTTTTCATATTTTCTACAAACATAGGTAAGTCGCTACTGAAGTTACAGCAGGCACCTAGCTCTAACAGAACATATGGAAAAGGAAAAAATCAAAAACCCAGCAAGTTGAGGACAGGTGTCATTACGCAGTCTGCCGTGCCCTCACAAATTAAAAGTGATAGCAATAAATAGGCAAAATGGGCTTCGTTAACCAGAGGGCTTTCCTCCCTTTCTTGTGTTTGTGTCGGGGCTCTGAGGCTAATAGAATCTGTGTTATTCAACTTCGGCAAAGCAGCTTCTTGAAATGCCAATTTTATATCTTCCTGGCATTAAATCCACCCAGGCAGATTCTACTGGCAACTTGACCTCAGCATTTCAAGCACTCCCAGTGGCTGAGGATTGGTTTTGCCAGCTCCCCACTGTCAGAACAGCTCTCTAAGGCGAAGTGGTTATATACGCTACCAAATAACTAAGAATACTGCCTCTTCATATTCTAGTTTCTCAGTCTCCCGGGGGTGCAGAGGGATACATTCAAACTCTATGGCAGTCCCTCGCCCTCTCCACTCTCTGTCCCTTGACACTAGGTCCTTGTGAAACTTAGGGACGACAGGCAGGAAAATCAGGAAGAGATTTTATAGGAACGCTGCTTCCAACCTAAAGAGCTTTACACATTCCAAGGCTTCAAAATGGTAAGATTTAATGTCTGGACTTAGGCTACAAGAATGTCTCCATGTCAGTTGCTCATGTTGGCAAAGGCATCATGACAGCAGAGGGTCGTTAACACTGGGGAACACTGGGCATGGGGCATACCAGGGCTGTCTGGACTACCCTTGCAACTTTCACAGAAATCTAAAGTTATCACAAAACAAGAAGTTCGTTTAAAAAGCAAAGGCTGTGGGGGCTCCTGGCTGGCTCAGTCGGTGCAGACTGTGGCTCTTGATCTCAGGGTTGTGAGCTGGAGCCCCACACTGAGTGTAGAGATTACTTAAAGATGAAATCTTAAAAAAAAAAAAAAGAAAGAAAGAAAAAGCAAAGGCTATTGCTCAGATTGGTAATTAAGATTATTCAGCTATTTTTTTTCTTAAGTGCCCAACAGAAGCCAGACTCTGTGCCACAGGTCTGTGGTGGGACAGAATTTCGCTCTGGTCCTACCTCTGAGAGGTTCCTGAAAGGAGAAGACACTCTAAACCCGTGAGATGCAAGGGAAGGGAGCATAAGGGTCCAGGAGAGCTTCAGTATTAGCATTCCTCAAGAGTACCACGACTGTCACCCAAGAACCCGGGGCCAGGGGTAAGAGGGAATCAGCGCACAATTACAAAACTCAACCACCCCAGCATCCAGCACAGCTCCTGGCACCGAGCAGGGACTCATCTACCAGAACAGAGCAGAGGCTGGAGGGTGCACAGGTGTGGGAAAGAGCTGGCTTGCTCAGGTGAGGCACCTGGCAGAATTCCCTAGAGGAGGTAAGCCTCCTCTTGAGGCTTGCTTAGTTTAGGAGGGAGGTGGGTGGAAAGAATAACATTCTTTGCAAAGGAAACAACAGGTTAAAGTGTGTGTTCTGGCCAAAAAGAGGAAGAAGAAATGCAACTGAACAAAAAAGCTTGGGGGTGGGGAAACTGAGGTCTTTCAAAGCCATTATCTTTGCAAAATGAAATTATAGCCTTTTTTTCCCCCCATCCTGGAACTCAGCACATTATCTGGACATCAAAGATGTCAATCAGAGGCAGGCCTGGGGGAGGGGGACCCTACTGAGCAGGTTTCCCAAGCTATGGCTCCTGCAAGCTGTGCTTTAAAAAAAAAAAAAAAAAAAAAAAAAGCCTAGTGCTACAAGCAGGGAACTGATACAGAGAACAATTCATTTTAGTCACGATCTTTATGTGGGTAACTCGAAAACATCCCCCTCTTCTAATAAACATTCCTAGGAACCCTCTTTTGTCCTCATTTCACTCTGGGTCGCAACATTTTTTGTTGTTGTTGTTAAAGAGGGAAAAGCCCATTATCAGCAGGCATCTAGTTCATTCTCTCTGTAAATTTTTTTCGTGGCTGAAGTGGGAAGGAGGCAGGGAAGGGAAGGAAGAAAGGAGGGCAAAAATCAAAGATCAGGCTTTGTGGTCTGCTCCAACACGGAGTGAGCCAAATAACAACAAAAAATCCAATCAGAACAAAAACATCCACAGGTGCGGCCCGCTCGCGCCCCGCCCGCCGGCCCGGACGCCCAACAGGTGCCTCCGGGCCCCGCCCGCTGTCGCAGGAGCCTCGGGTCGCCACAGAGTAGCCGCCCGCGCAACAGTGTCCAGGCCCGCCCGTACTCACGGCCGCTCGGCGGTCCGCGCCCCGGCCCGCAGCGCCCATCCGGCCCGGGCCCCGGTCAGCGCGGGCTCGGCTCTCAGGCGGCGCCGGCGCGGCCCGGGACGCGCTGCGGCCGTTGGCGCCTCCGCAGGGCGCGAGGCATCCTCCCGCCGCCGCCCCGCGGGCCGCCTGCCCTTTGTTTTGGAGCCGCGGCCCCGCCGCGCTGCCGTTAACGGCCTCGGAACGCGGCGTCGGCCAATCAGCGCGCCCCCCCGCCCGCGCTCCGCCCCGTGCCCCGCCCCTCCCGCGCGTTCCCTCCCCGCGCGCTCCGCGCCCGGGAGCTGGACCGGCTCGCACTCGACCGGGCTGGGCGGGGGCGCACGTGCGGCGGGGCGCGCCGCGCTCCCATTGGCCGGCCTGCCGAGCGCGGCCTCGGAGCCAGCCTATGAGGGTTGAAGGGCCTGGGGGCGGGGCCCCGCGGGGAGGGGCGGGCCCTGGGGCGGGCTCAAAGGGGAGAGCAGTGCGCAAGCGCGGTCTGTCCTGAACTTGGGTGTTCAGCCCACGGTTTTCGCCCGCAGGCTTCCCCCGCGGTGGGGAGCCCGCGGGCCACTCGGTCTCTCCGCACTCCTGGGTCGGCTCATGGACGTCAGGGCCACAGCTTCCGGGGCCGAAGCGGGGCGCATGGGTCGGCCGTGCGCAGGACTTGGGCTTCCCTGGCCGGACCACTCGCAGACTCGGTTCCCAGAATACGGGGTCCTCCGCGCTCGCCCACTCCATCCTCCCCGAACCCTCCAAGTCACTCTGCCTGAGAACCTCTGCATCTGGCTCTCTGCTCCAGAACCCCCAGATCGGATTCGACAGGAAGCTCCATTCTCCAGGTGGCCCTCCCGGCCCCCCAGGCAGCCCATCACATCTTCATGTCCACATCCCATCCCTCTAAGACTCTCAAGTCATTATTTTTTTGGCCCCAAAGCTTTCCACTATAGGTTGTTTCTTAAGTTACATAATTTTTTAAAAACCACAGTGTTGAGGTCACAATGTATATAACATTTTTATAAATGTTCGCCTTCTTTAGATCTTGTTTCTTTTTTGCAATGCAGTGTATCTGTAAAGATCTCTCAGCGTCTTTGGATGTGCACCTGATTTATTACCGTACTTAGAAGGTCTCTGGATACTATCCATTTGTCAGAATTCAGCCATTCTCCTGGCAATGTCTCCAGCTCCCCCTCTTTTACAAACCTGGCTGCAAAGTGGGAACTCATGATTGTTTTTAAGATGCACTTTTCAGAGGAGTGTTAGCATCTCTTCATTAACTATTAAGTCTTTCGTAGCTTCTATTTCCAACTTTCAGATCTTCAGTTTGCAACTGAGTGTAGGGGAGTTCCTTCCTCTTGTAAATTTTAGAGATTCCTTAGATTGTCTTAAATATTATGCTTTTGTTGTTTTTGCTACAGCAAGTATCTTAGCCAGTCCTCTATTGAAAAAAATCCTAATTTTTATGTGAGTCAACGTTTATGTAATTTTGTATCTTGCTTGGAGAAGGGGCATTTTACTCTTACTGCAGTTTTTAATGAATGATTTTAGTGGCTGCAGAATATTGAATTTAACATACCCAAATAACTATGTGTTCGTTAGGCACGTTGGTGATTTCTGCTCCATTTCTTTGGATTCCTGCATTCTTGGAATATTTTTGCACCAGATTTCCTATTGTGCTTTGCATTGTGGTTCCTGGCTTCATCCTTAGAAATACATCTTTTCCTTAAAATCTAAGGGATTGATGCATGTGAATCCAGTACCCTGGCCTGTCAGCTCATTGCCGCCTCTCCTGCAAGAATCTTGCCCTCTGAATGACCCCCGGGCTGGACCCCTTTCCTGACCACTGACCAGTGCCTTTTAAATGTTTTAAACTATGACCACAGTAAAGAATACATTTTATGGGTAGAAAGGTTCTATTTGGGGTGATGATAAATTTGGGGGATAGTGTGGATGACTGCACAACAATGTAAATGTATCAATGCCACTGAATTATACACTTAACAGTTAAAATGGCAAATTTTAAGCTTTAAAAACCCATTTTACATTATGATCTAGTACACATACGTATGAAAAAGTTTCACGATTTAAGACATAGTCTTGTCTTGTGTAACGCCCTAACACTATTCAGTTTTATTTTTATTGATGACATCCTGCACGTGACTCTCTATGTGATTTCACAGGCTATCAACCATGGCCTGTGGTCTGCCACCTGCTGCCTGGTCCCCGTTGTCACCACCCTCCAGAAGCCCACTCTGGGCCACAACACTGTGCTCTCCGGCCCCCTCCTGTTAGCAGGACCACTGCTGCCTTCTCCAGCACTGGGAGCCACACAACTCCCTATCTTCACCACCTACCCACCGGTGGCTCTTCTCCTCCTTTTGTTCACCTCCCTTGAGCACCTTTCTCACATCACAGACTTGCCCAGGGAACCCCAGTCCTGGGTAAATGTGACTCTCTCTGCTATGGCTGAAGAGATGCTTTCCCTTGGGGAGACCACTTTCTAGGGCAGGACTGTCCTCCTGACAATCCTACCCTTGCCCGCCTGCTGTGGCCATTCAGATTTTTGCCTTCCTGGAAGACTATCCTACACCAGCCCCTGCCCTCTGCCTGTGCTAGCTCTGTGTCTTGCTTTACTGAAGACATCAGCGTCAGCAGGAGAGTGTTTCTCACTGCTTCCACCCTAAACCTTCCACCGGCCCACTCCCACCACCATGCACACATTGCTCTGTCCTCTAAGACCTGCATGTCACTGGCGCATCGGGTCTACCCCACCCCACATGCTAGCTGGTCTGCTTCAGTCACAGCACCCTCTTTCTCCTGCATCCTCAGTCCCTGCTTTATTGGGCTGTCCCATCAGGATGGGAGACATGGTGTCATCTCCATATCCATTTTCTCCATTATCATGCTTCTCTCTAATTCTTCAAGAGCAAAATTGCTCAGGAGCAGCTTGGCTGGGCTCCTCCCACTCTTGGGCTCCCTCCACTCCACCTGTTCCTTGCCAGAGCTCACATCCGGGTTCAGCCAAATCTCCGTAGTGGTCAGGCAGCACTTCACACCACCTGATGTCTCCCAGGGCGTGCCTCAGCACGGACCCCCAGCCCCCAAATCCTAGGCTTCCAAGTCCATATGCCCACTGTGAACCACCCTTGGAGCTCTACGGGACACCTCAAAGCCAGGGCACCCTCAATCGAGCCACAGCTATCACCACCTCAGTAAAAGGCACAGCCAAACTTCCAGGACAGCCAAAACCTCTGAGACCCTCACCTTGGGTCTCCCCATCATGCCCCACAGTGGGCCCTCAGAAAGTCCCTCTTCTGCCACCAGTGCCTGACACCGGGGCCACTCTTCTCTCTCATGATGATGACAGCCACACGTGAGCAGTAAGCTTTGTCTCCTTACTCCTCACACACTGACTCTTTGAGAACAAAAGCCAGACCTGTCCCTCCTCAAAAGCCTCCGGGAGCTTTCCATTGCACTCAGACTAAAAAACAAAGTCCTTCCAATAGCCCCCCAAGACTTGGCACCTCCCTGTCCCTCTCGATTTCCTACTTCAACCCCTGCATTTGGCCAACTACAACATTCGGAGGGACCAGTCCCCACAGGACCACCTCCACTTCTGACACCAATGGCATGTTTGGGAGTCCCCAAGCGGACCCTTAGCCAAGGTTGACAATTTCCTGGAGGGACTCACAGCGCTTTACTCACAGTTACAGTTTACAGCACAGGAAGGATGCTGATTAAGACCAGCTGCAGGAAAAGCACCCAGGGACTGGTCTAGGAGAGTGTCAGACTTGAGGGGTAAGCTGCCTGCACACAACCCTCCTCTCAGCACCTGTGAGGGACAGCCCACATGATGCTGCCGATAGGGAAGTTCCTCAGGGCCAAGTGCTCAGAGCTTTTACTGGAGTTCATTGCACAGGTGTGATTAATTGAGTGTCCTCCTAGTGATCTCAGTCTGCAGCCCCCTCATCACAACATTGGTCTTGTGTGTTCAGTTCCAGCCTGAATATAATCTGTGCCACGTTCCTACTTGAAATCGCATTGTTAGGCTATTAGAAGCCCCCCCGCCAGGCAAACAGGCACTCTTGGTAGAGCTTAGTAACCGCCTCCCCAAAGCAGAAGGCAAATGGCACTCTTTGGGGGTGAGATTAAATTCTTCCCGACAACCTCCCCTTGCTTACTACTCTTCAGACACACCACCTCCTTGCTGCCTCTTCTTGGGGACTCTGTGCTTGCTGTCCCTTCCTCTGGAAGGCCCCTTTCTTCAGGATTCTGCTCAAATGTGTCCTCACCAGAGAAGCAGTATTCTCTAGGCTCTGCGGACCAGAGGCTCCTACCCACCACTCCCTCTCCCTCCTCACCCAGCTTTGATTTTCCTCTTCAGCAACCCCTCCCACCACCACCACCACAACTGGCCTGTGTTTTCTTCTGTTTGGTTTATTGTCCGTCTCTCTCACCAGGATGTGAGCCACCTGAGGGCAGGGTCCGGGTTTGTCCTCAGCTGTATATGCAATGCTTACAACATAATTTGTTGAATGAGCCACTCCTGCAGGAAGACTAAAGCATAAAGGAGCTCTAAGATGCCCAGCTCTTTTGTTTGGGCTGACCAGGGCACCGGAAGACCAGTGCACCAGAACCCCAGTGCACTGGAAGTGCACCACAGAGGAGAAGGGATGGGAGAGTCCATGAGAACCTGGTGCACCATGGCTCAGTGCCTTGCTGCTCAGTGGTGTTGTACACCTGCTGCCAGCAAGCCTGCTTGGTGATTACGGACTCGAGCCCAACAAAGGTGAGTGGATCAGGCTACGATCATCAAAGGTGGGATCCAGGACACTGCAGTTGTCTAACTGCCCATGGGAGGCTCTCCAGACCCATGTGTGGACACAGTGGCGCGTTTGTGATCACATGCTGGAGTTGGACCCACACAGGCTCTCACATACAGAGATGGTTACAGGCTAGGGTACTGTCCGCGTCCCTGGAGGATCCAGTCTAGCTGGTTGTTACACGCTAAATTGCGTCCCTCCAAATGTGACTGTATCTGGAGATAGCCTTCAAATAGGTGATTAAGTCAAAATGAGGTCGTTAGGAAGGTGCCTTGATCTGGTCTGACTGGTGTCCTTATAAGAGGAAATCAGTTCACAGACACACACAGGGATGACCCACCAT